TGTTCTTGGTGGTGGTAGATGCCCATTTCAAATGACCAGAAACCTCTCTAATGCCTTCCACTACAGCTGAGAACACTATCCAAAAACAACAGGAAATCTTTTATTGTTTTGGTCTTCCAGAACAACTTGTGAGGGACAGCAGCCTGCAGTTAGTCTCTTAGGAGATTGGCAATTTTATGAAAGCAAACAGGATCCATCACATCACTTCAGCATCATATCACCCACCCACCAATGGGTTGGCTGAAAGGGTTGTGCAGACAATGAAACAAGCTTTGAAATAGGCTAGAGGACATGCACTCATGGAAAAGTGTCTGGACAGCTACTTACTATCCTACAGAAACACACCTCATGCTACAACCAAAATGGCTTTTCTAATGACGGGACATCAGCTATGCACTTGCTTTGATCTGCTGAAACCTTCTGAATGGCGACAAATTGTGCAACATCAACAGCAAGGTCAAGGCACCATGCGCATCCAGAGCAAGAAACTTTAGTCCTGGAGAGCTGGTTTTGGCTTGGAACTATGCTTTTGGAGCTAAACGGGTCCCTGCCACTGTCATGGCTCAGACAGGCCCTGTTTCTTATACTGTGCGGACGGCAGAGGATCTCATCTGGCAGCAGCATGTAGATCAGTTATTGCCAGGTTATGCCCGCCCCCAAGACACATCTCCAGTTGAGTTGCCCATCCTCCTCACTGCCGGTGAGCTACCACATCAAAAACCACCTGTTCCTGACTCTCCTCCTCCATCAGCGTCTGCAGTGAACGTAAGCTCCCTCCCTGAGCAGGCTGATCTGACAGCCTCACTTGTTCATGCTTCAAGTTCCTGGCCCATTGTCAGACCAGCACCCATAACACCTTCTGGTGCAAGAACACCAGACGTCCACCATAATCCACCTAGAGGAAGAAGGCCGCCTCAACAGCTGGCATTTTACTTGAGATAAACTCACAGATGGGGCAAAATAATCCCCGGGGTTAGCTGGGAATTTGAGGCAGTCTCTCCTCATTCCATAGTTAGTGTTGGTTTTACTAAAGGGTTGTTCTTATTAAGGGGGGAGGAATATGTTGTGTATTGGGTTGTCGATATAGATCTTGTTGTTATAGTAACTGCATTAGGTCACTAGGGGTCAGCCCAGTTGTTTGGGGCTGGTGTTAGTTCTGTGTTATGAAATAAAATGGACACTTGCAACTGCTCTCTGTGTTTCCAGGGATTTCTTTCTAAACTGTGGAACTCCACAGACATCTGTAGAGCTGTGACATGGTCCTCTCTTCACACATTCACAGTGCATTTTGCCATCACTAGCAAGCCAAAGATGATGCTGGTTTGGCAGAGCTGAGTTGCAATCTGGATGCTTGTGGGGGCCCTTTGTCCTGAAGCCTTATGACTCTCCACCTCCAATGAACAGCCTGGGCTGTGTGAGCAGCCGTGCCGGGGATGAGGCGGCACCGACGGAGAGTGAATCCCAGAGACACACACATGGAGTGTCGAGGTACCAAGAGGCCCCAGAGGAGTAGACATGATTATGACTTTTTTGTTGTTGGTGAAAGACACAAACCCCAGCGCCCAATCAGCAGGGAAATGATGTGAGGAGACAGCTAATAGCCGTTGCATCATCCTTGTTGCTCTACCTGAATGTCTCTTCAGGAGCCTGGGAGGAGCAGGCTCTGCCCCTCCAGGTAAATATTTGGTGACATTACTATCTAGATATGAATCAACCCGCTGGGTCTCATTCACAGCCACATCTGAGACCTGCATCTGCCACAGAAGCCAGGGAGACCTCAGCTCCTTTGCAACGCAAGCCCATTCTGACTCCTGGGGAATGGGAAAGGACCCAAGACCATACCAGGCTCCTGCCCTGGCCACACTGACGCACACCAGCAAACAAAACCATAGTGGGTGTTCAGGCACTAGCTGTCACAAAGAGCTTGTGCTGCAGGAGAGACCAATTCCCCGGGTATTAACTGAGGCAGCCATGTTCCTGTCCTTAATCATCCGCCTCCCTCCACTGCCTGTGTTGGATTCATTGCACAATTGATTACTTGGCCGTGCTGGTATGAAGTACATGGAAGAGCCCAACTAAAGTCAGGCGGCTTATTGTGAAAAGTCCAGCACAGTGTGAGCGTGGGAAAAGGCTCCAGGGAGGCCGGTCTGCACACGGCCTGTGTCGCAGCATTGTCCAGTAATGTGCGCACAGGGCGGGATCCACATTTACACACCAGCATGTGTCGTGTCACAGAGATCCGGCCTGTTGGCTTATCCAAGTTCCTCGGCTGGTTGTTCTAACCCTTCCCTGCTCTTCGTGTTAGACACACACCTTCCAGGGCACGGTGCAGGACGGTCTCCCACATGCTCGTAGTATGGCTGACAGTGGGTGTGTCTTGCCTGTGACATGTCCCCTCGCTGCTTGTGCAAAGGCAGAGTGACGTGCCGTGTGACAGGGGAGGCAGTGCAGCCTGAGTAAATTTAGCTTGTGTCCCTGCCAGGTGTTCATGTCACAGGGCATCTGCTAACCCGCCTGGCCACAGACTCTGGCTCTGATGACTCTGAGATGACCTTTGCCCAATGAATGGATGAGGCAGAGATTGGGACATTTTTGTTGGATTCACTGTTTAGTCACTTTGTGTCAGTGGCTGTTGGCAGTGTAGAGTGGGACTCTGAGTCACGGCTCCTCCCAATGTAGGCTTGATCATTTTGCCTTTGTGAGTACAATTTCAGACAGAGTGACTCTCACTCGATGTGCCCTTCTAGCTCACAAGTAATGAGTCGTGACTGAACAGGTAAAGGGTCCTAAGTTTCCACATTTTCGGGGACAAGAAGTCAGCCTTTATTTTACAATGGTCATCACCTTCCTGGATCTAAGAACATAAAAATGGCCATACTTGATCAGGACAAAGGTCCAACTAGGCTAGTGCCCTGTCTTCCAGCAATGGCCAATGGCAGGTGCCTCAGAACAGAACAGGGAATCAACAAGTGATCTATCCCCTGAAACTCATTCCCAGCTTCTGGCAAACAGAGGCTAGGAACACCATTCCTGCCCATCTTGGCTAATAAGCATTGATAAACTTATCATCCTTGAATTTCTCTGGCTCTTTGCTGAACCCTGTTAAATTCCCGGACTTTGCAAAGTCCTCTGGCAAGGAGTTCCACAGCTTGACTCTGCACGGTATGAAGAAAAACTTTCTTTTGTTTGTTTTAAACCTGTTACTTATTAATTTCATTTGGTGACCCCTAATTCTTATGTTATGGGAACAAGTAAAAAACTTTTCCTGATTCAGTTTCTCCACATCACTCATGATTTTATAGACCTCTATCATATCCCCTCTTACTCTCCTCTTTTCTAAGCTGAAAAGTCCCAGTCTTTTTCATCTCTCCACATACAGCACCTGTTCCAAACCCCTCATCATTTTTGTTGCCGTTTCCTGAAATTCATCCAATGCCAAATACTGCTGATCTTTTCCTTTGATTGCCAGCCGAGTGTTGCTCCTGGTTTGGGCCCCTTCATCTATGTGTTCTTGTACATTTTCCCATTATCAATTGCCAATTTTTGATCACCACATTATCCATTGTATGTTCCCTAACCTGTGCATTACCCACCCTCAAGTGCTAAAAACAATGGCTACAATTTTCTTACTGAACAGATAGTTCCTGGGTCATATTGCGCTGGGCCGCTCTGTTTCTCAGACAGAGTATTTTCTATGTTTACCATGACATGCTTTTATCTCTTGCATCTTCCAACACAACAAGTAATTTATCTAGCCGAATGTGATTGTAAATAAATCCTCCTATTATGTCAAAGAGAAATAATAAAATGATCCCATGCTGCCAGCCAGGGCCTCTCAGAGCCTCCCCGTTTTTTGCAGTTTGCTATGAGTGAATTCTGGGGACACTGAGGGAAAAAGGAAGAGGTGTGTAACCCAGAAGTGCTGAGATCACAGAGGGGCAGTGAAATCTGCTCTTTGCCTGAACTTACAGATGCTTTAGCCCCTAGTATCCCAGTTCCAATTGTGCTTCCCGATGACCCTAGTCCTCGGCTTTAAATGCCTAGGTTCATGGAAGTGCAGAGCTGGGGAGAAAATTTTTCAGTTGCACTTTACTGTAGTTGGGCAGCCATGGAGACAGAATAAACACACTGCGCAGCATTTTTCAGAATAAGAAAATAGGTTGGTATTTTTATCATAGACTTACACAGCCATGTCCCACCCACAGAGGCATTCGGTGCCAGTTCGTTGAGCGAATCTCTGACAGTTCTAGGAGTTTTGGACATAAGTGCTGGCTCCCGTGGAGTATGAAATGCAGACAGTGAGTGTCTCCCTCAGGAACAGTGGGGGGAAATTCCCTGGCCTTCGTAGAGCAGGAATCCAGCTGGATACTCAGAATGGCCCCTTACAACCCCCCAATCGAGGAGTCTGTGCTGTGCAGTGTTGTGCTCCAATGCCACCCGCCTGCCCAGCCCTCTGGGCTTGTGCAAAAGGCAATGGAAGTGCAGGGCCATCTCCCGGCGCAGGTGTGTGACGCGGTCAGGTGGGGTATTGAGAGAGACATCACAGCTTGACCTAGGGAGCCCTTCCTAAGTATTTATATTTAGGCCTCAAAACCTCAAATGCTGGGAACCCAGAGGGATTTTCTGTAGATCAGGTTGGAATTTTTTCGCTTTTAAAATGTTGTTGAATATTGTTAAACTTGAACAAAACGAGGAGAAAGTGTTCTGAAATATTTCTCATTTTGAACTGTTTTTTTCTTTTTGGGTTAGCATTTCAAAATTGGAAGGTACAAAATCAGGAATCGACTTTGATTCAATATTTTCAGTTGATTGTTCCAAGACTTTACCTCTCACTGCCAAAACAGTGATAGTAAATCTGTATAAGAGGGGAATTTCTGTTTTGTTAAGAATATTTTCTCCTGCAATACACCAGAAGGGCTAACAAGTGAAAGACGTACAAAAGCCAAAATATCACTTAAAAAATGAGCATCCTCAGGAAAAATTTGAGAAAATGGCAACGATTACCCCCATTCCACTCTTTCAACAAACTCGCCTTTTCCTTCCGCTAATTGGGAACAGACACTCTTCTCCAGAGTTTTTCTGAAGGCTCTATGCACCTCTTTGTTCCTCAGACTGTATATTATGGGGTTCAAAATGGGTGTCACAACTGTGTAAATGAGGGAAATCCAATGATCACTCTCTGGCGTGTAGCTGGATATGGGTTTTAGATAAGTTGAAAGGCAAGTTCCATAGAACAAAGTCACGACAATGAGGTGGGAGGAGCAGGTGGAGAAGGCTTTACGCCTCCCCTCTGCCGACGGCAGCCTGAGGATGGTGGAGAGGATGAGGATGTAGGACAGTATTATTAATATGAAAGGGCCCATGATGAACAGAGCAGACACAGTCAAACCCACAATTTCATTTTTCGATACGTCGGCACACACCATCATTTCCACCGGCCGGATGTCACAGAAGAAGTGGGGGATGCGGTTGGAGCCACAGAAGGGCAGGCTGAAGAGCCACGTGGTCTCAGCTGATTCCACCAAGAGGCCAATGGTCCATGAAACACCCAGGAGCATTGCACACACCCGGCCATTCATGATGGTGGTATAGTGCAAGGGGTGGCATATGGCTACGTAGCGATCGTAGGCCATGGCTGCGAGGAGGCAGCATTCTGCGAGAGCCAGGGCAGTGAAGACCAACATCTGGACCATACAGCCCACAAAGGAGATGGTCTTTTGCTCCACCAGCAGGTGAACCAGCAGCTGAGGGGTCACATTGGTGGTGTAGCAGATTTCCAAGAGAGACAGGTTCACAAGGAAGAAATACATGGGGGTGTGGAGAGAGGAGTTTAGTATTATCAAGAGGATAACAAGCAGGTTCCCCACCAGTGCGATTGGGTAGGTGACCAGAAGCAGCAGAAACAGAAGGATTTGCAGCTCGTTAAGGTAGGAAAAGCCCACCAAGATGAAGCCATCGGAGATAGTCTGGTTCTCGCCAGGCTCACTCAAAGAATAGGTCATCTGCAGGGGTGAGAAAGAATGAGATGTTGGAGCTGAATCTGTGGAACACCAAACATGTGTCTTGAACAAGTCAGGCTGGGTCACCGTCCCTTGGCCAACTCCCATCTCTAATGGGTGAAAGCTGAAACCCAAAGAGGGTCCCTGACCTTTCTGGCAATTCTCTCATTCTCAGAGTGACATCAGACATGCATCGGCTTTTCTCAGTGTGGAATTGAGGACCTTGGGCCAGATTCTCATCTGGAATCAATCTCACAGCCCAGGTTAGGGACACAGAGCCCTAGCGATTTGCACCCATTGAGGATCTTCCCATTTCCTGGCTTTTAAGGAGCTGGAAGAGGAAAGATCCTGCGATGCCAGGTGTGATTTCTTTTATACCAGATGATTTAATTTTCACAAGGAACGTCATAATAATGGGTAATGTGAAAAACCTCATAGAGTTGAAAAGAAAATGAGCAATAATACATATGAGCATTTTGCATGTTGTTAGCACTTTCAATATGCAACCAAGAATAACGAATTAGCCAGGTGGAAACGGGGAATGAAAGAGTGAAGAGATATGGGCTATGCAGTGAGTCAGCATTCCCCAAAATACAGTGGACTCTCGTGAAACCAGATTTTATGTTACAGCCATAAGACCAGTCTTTTGGAAATGCAGCACACACACACACACACACACACGAATCAAAGAAAACTGAATGAAACACCAGGGCACTCTCGGGGGTAGCACTATGATGGGCCCAGCACAGATGTGAAGAGAATGAGGATCTCCCAATAAGAAGCACTGGAGAAGGTGGGAATTCTTCTGCCTCTTGTTGGGAAACTTACATTGGCATTTCTGAGCAAAACCAGAAAAGCAACTTCAAGCTGGCTGGAAAATGAAAGGTCTGATGGAAATTCCAATATTCCAACACTCATGCTCACCGTGAATCACTAGGGAACGTTGGAAGAGACAAAACCTGAATTCTGCTGCAGAAGGGTCAATATGAAATTACATGGAAGATACAAAGTGTCCTCAACATCAGCGTTTTCTCATGGAAAACATCAGTGCTGAGGAAACCTTCATCCAGGTGGGATTTGTTTGATTGAGGTGTTGGCTGGCAGTGGGAAAATCTCTCCATAAATGGAGACATTTACTCACCATGCAGAACAGCGTCTGTGCAGGTTCTGGTCCCTAGGGGCTGAGTGATATTTTCATAGCTCTTCAGGGCACCTGGACACTCCACGGATGGTCAGGAGAACATGGAAGGAACGACAGAAACACACATTAGCTGGAGGGAGGGATGAGATATATTAAACACCTCTTCACTGTGGAGCAGCAGGCACAGGGCATGCTAGAAATGGACTCTGAGAAGGGATCCAACTTTGCCCGCCCACCCAACTGTGACCAAACCAGAGAGAGGACCCACATGAAAACAACATTTCTCTTTGGATTCAATGGAGGAGGAGGAGGGTTGGGGAGCAGAGGGGAGTAAGGACGAGAGGAGGAGAAACAAGAAACAAAAACACTCCTACCACTGCCACCTGCACTATGACACCACTGCAGGTCGCTGGGCGAAGGACAGCAGGTTCCATCCTTCGTTCAGACCCCACCGTGGTTCAGAAGAGAAGTTCTGTCTCATGCAGAAAGGGCTCAACGTGTGGAAGGGAAAACCGGTGTTTATTTCACTCTCTGGCCTCGGGGATCTAGTCCCTGAAGTGATTGTTTTTTAACATTCCTTGGAGGCAGAACAACCTGGCCTCAAACTTCAACAGCACACAATTCCCCAGGTCTGTCGGTTTGGATGAACTTGCATCATCAGCAACACAACGTGTTGTCTAGATGAGAGTCATAAGGGGCTTTACTACCCACAGGGACGGGCCTGACTCTTTTCTCAGCGACATGATGAGGAAGACTGACTTGTCCAACACCACTCGCAGCGTCAGGGACACCCCCAGGGCTCATGGGTCCAGACTCTGAGCCCCACTCTTGTCACAGAGCCACAATGAGAACCCTGGAGCTGAGACTCCCAGCCCCACTCATGGCAGCTAAGATTGTCTCTGAGATGACTGCGCAAGTCGCAAAACTCATGACATGTCGCAGGTGTCCGTTTATCAGGGCACATACTGACCTCCCCAATGCGCAGGCACAGCCCGGCCATGGCTTGTGTCTGAGATGATTACTGTAGTGGCATCCTTACCTGGTGCAGCTCCGGTTCCTACCTGGGAGCAGGTTTTCTTTTAAAAAACGATAGAAAATGTACAAGCTTGATTTAAATAATTGTGTAGGGTAGGGTTTGGGTGGGTGAGGATCCAAGGGGAGGTGCTTGGGGATGGAGTGAGGACAGTGGTTGGGGGCTCAGGGCAGGGGGTGGAGGTGTATGGGTCAGGGCAGCGGGTGGTGTGTATGTGTCAGGTCAGGGTTAGGAGGTGTGGGCAGACTCAGGACCCCCACCCACTGTCCTCACTCCATCCCCAAGCACCTCCCCTGTTGATAAAGAAATCAGGGGAAAGATCATTTGGGAAATCTCACCCCTAAAATAAAAATCAAGGCACACAATTAACCACTGCCAGGTTAATAAAAAGAAAAGAAAGAACTTTTATTATTATAACAATATTCCTGTTGCAAACATAATGACTAGATAGGGAGGTAACAAAATATACTCATGGAGAAACTCCATGGGCCTAGAACTTAGTTACAAAGAAAAGCCAAAACATCTTTTAACCAGTGCCAGATCTCAGATCCCACACCCAATCCTTAAAACAATAAAACCTAACGAAACTACCTAAACTTTACCCTACTTACAGAAAATGGAGAATGGTGACTTGGAGAGAGAGAGAGAGACATGCTTGTCCCTCTCTGTAGCTGCAGAGAACTCTCTCCCAGAGACAAAAGGGAGAAAAAAAAACCCAAATTCCTTTGTCCCAGTTTGAAAGTCC